CTGGGGATCGAACCCAGGGCCTTGGGCTTGGTAGGCAAGAGTTCTACTCCTGGGCTACAGTCTCAGCCCAGCTCTAGTTTTGATTGCCTTCCTTGGTCTGAGAATTTCTACGCCATTATAGTCCGAGCTTCAGACTATAAGGCCAGGAGGCTCCACTGGGACGCCAGCCATTTCCAAGTGCCCGATCCCGCGGGGCCTTTCCGATGAATGCATGTCACGAAGATGTTATGTCTTCCCGGTGCAGGGTATCTGCAGCGGTCCCTGGAGAGCATCTCTGTGCGAGATGGAGAGAGCAGACAAACCACCGGTTTCTTTCGGGTTTACCACAGCGATGCTGTGCGGTGCTGCGCGGGCCTAGGCTAGGCAGCTTGCGGAGTCCCGGGACGAAGCGGGAGGGGCCGGCGGGGGCGGGGGCGCGGCCAGGGGTCACGTGACGAATCAGCCCCAGCGGCGGGCGGAGCTGCGCGGGTATTTAGGGGTGCACCGGTGAGGCCGGGAGCGGCTCGGTTCGGCTCGGTGGCTGCAGGCCCTGGCTGTCGCGCTGCGCTCGGTGAGTTTGTCCGGGGCGCAGTGGCTCCGCTGCGGAAGTCCCTTTGGCTGGGGTCAGGGGAGCGGGCTGAACGGCGGCGGTGGAGACAGGCCCCGGGCTTGCCCAGGGCGCAGGCGCGGTTCCTCCGCGGCCCTAGATGCTGCGCGCCGTGGCGGATCGCGGTCCTCTGGAAGAGGAGACCTAGGCTCCGGCACACTAGTCCGGCAGAGCTCCCGGCCTTCACGCTTTAGGGCCGAGCCTGGTGACCCCGCGGTGGTCGGCTTCTTTCCAGTGGCCTTGGCGCACTTCAAGGGCAGAGGTGGGGACTTCGGGGAGCTCCGAGGGAGGAGCTTAAAGGGAAGGGTTCGGCCCTGGCCCTCCCAGCTTGCAGACTGCGAGTCTCAGGGGTGCTCAGGGCGAGTATTGACCTGCATCTAGTGCAGCTTTGTGGCTTATTTTAAAGAATCTGCCCCGGGAACTTTTCCACAAACAAACCCACGCAGTGCCTGGCACCCTAAAAGACCTGTTCTATTGAGAACAGGAACCTGGTAGTGGGAGGCTGGGGTGGAAACTGCACGAAGAGTTAAACCGAGAAACAGGAAGAGAAGCAGAGCTAAAGGATAGGGGCTGCCAGTACCTTTCCCTGGAGGGGGGCATAGCCAAGATGATGGGACTGTGGTGGAGGAGAGGTACTTGCAGGACAGCCTCCTTCATTCAGGGCCCTGCTGGCCGGGAGAGATAGCATGGACTCCCAGAGTGTTGATCATGTGGACCAAGATAGGTGAATTGGACTTGCTCCCCTAGGGGCCTGGAGTAAAAGGACTAAAGCCCACCCTCACCTTGTCTCCACCTGACCAGATCCCCTCACCTGTGTGGGGAGGGAGATAAATTGTGGGTTTCAAAGGGAAGCTGAACGCCTTCCAGTGTGTTGGGAAGACTGATCTCCAGGTGCCTCCTCTGAGAGGGACGGCGGAGGTATAGTCTTCAGTCTCCAGATTCAGACGGGTAGCATGGGCAGAATGTTGGTGAAGGTGCTCTCATCTTTCCGCGAAGCCCTTCAGGGGAGAATTGCTTCCCATTGGCTTTGGCCATGGTGACCTAAAAATCCAGAGCTCCCAGAGGCATACCAGAGCCAGGCAATCCCAGCACTTGGAAGGCTGAGGCAGAAGAATCACTGTGCATTGGAAACCAGCCTGGGCTACATAATGAATTCCACATAGTGGGACTACAGAGTGAAACTGTTTCACCTCCTAACCCCTCCTTCCTTCCAAAAAAAGGCACGCTTGAAAGAAGGCTTCCTGGAGGAAAATGACCTTTGCCCCTTTAAATCCACGTGACCCAGGCTTACTGCTAGGGAGGTGGGGTGGGCCCATGCCTGTGCTTCACCAGCCCAGGTGCCAGCAGAGGTTTCCAGCACTTGCCTTGATGTTGGCTTGTTTTCAGACTAGTCAAGCAACGGAGGGCTGGAGCGCTTGGCTCCAGGTTGAAACTGTCCCCTGGAGGTGCTGATTCAGCAGTCTAGGCTGTGGCCCTTATGGGTATGGGTAGAAACCTTTAGATAGCTGAGTCTCGGGTTGGCCACTGACTTGATGTACCGATGTAGGGAAAATGTTAGCTATGTGTGAGGTGGAACTATGCAATAGGACTTTTGAAAGTCAAAAGGGAAACCATGGACTTCAGTATGATGGATGTGAAGGGAGGTGTTGGGGCTAAGGTCTGTCTTGTCTCTGCTTAGTTAACAGTCCATATCCCTGCTCTGGTCATCTCGGGTACTCTGCTGGAGCTGCCTAAGGAAGGGCGGAGGATCAGTCTGGAGTCCTTTTGTTGCTGTAGTTTATTTTCTGCCCTACATTGAACATAGTGGAAGTTCTAGGGGTGGAGCTCTTGCTGCATGCTGAAACTCTTGTCAGTCTGTCGGGCTGAGACCCAACCCAGAGCCTTGTGCATCCTAATCATGCAGTCTGCCACCGGACTCTATCATACCCACCCAGCTTTAACCGGTCACCTCCCTTCACTGTCCCTCAGTTTTTTGAGGTAGGTGTTACCCTATAGTCCAGGCTAGGGTTACAGACAAGAACTAATGCTCCTGGTTTAGGCTTTTTTTTTAATTTATTTATTTATTTTTATTAGAACAGGACTTATACTCACTGTGTAGTCCTCACTAGACTGGAACTGGCTGGCTATGTAGACCCGAAAGGCCTGGGCATGACAAGGTACACAAACTCAGAGATAAACCTGCCTCTGCCTCCCCAGTGCTGGGATTAAAACCTTGGACCATCTAGCAATCCTTTCATTTTTAGCTTCGAGTCTAAACATCCCTTTCTGCAGACCTGAGACCTCCCAGGCTCAGGTTTGGGATAGAAGTAGGTGGCTCCTCCCTGGTGGGACTTGTTTGGTTGAGGTCAGTTTGGCTCCTGGACTTGCTTTGTCTATCACAGAGACTTTGGCAGCAGTTTCTTTCCTACTTCTGCACTTGAAATACAATGTATCAATCTGTAAGTATTGTTTTATGTAACTTAGTTATACTATGTCTTGTTCACTCAGTTTGTGAGATTTGTTGATATTGATACCTGCTGATTTAACAGTTATTTTAATTTGTTGGGGACAGGTGGCAGTGTGGCAGGGGTCTCATGTATCCCAGCTAACTCACCACATGGGGTGGATGGCTTTGAACTCTTGATCTTCTTCCTGCCTACCTCCCAAGCGCTGAGATTGCAGGTGTGCACCCTATCGTGCCCAGAGAATTTGGTTTATTAGTCTTCTTCTTCATTTATTTGAGACAGGGCTATATAAACCAGGCTGGTCTTGAGCTCATAGAGATCCACCTGTGTCTGCCTCCTGAGTGCTGAGATTAAAGGCTTGTGCCACCACACCTAGCTAGTTTATTGGTCTTGAATATGTTGACTTAAGAGACAGTTAAAATTGCCTACTTTCATTTCTGTCCCTCCTCCTTTTTCACGCTTGCTTATAGTGACACAGAAAATTCTTTTGGGCAAAGCAGAAGTATGGTGAATTACTGGACATATGACCCCCACACCTACTGTCCTGCTAGCTAGTGACGGTGCCCCTCCCCTCTGTGGCCCTGCTACCTTCTTGCAATTTAGGAGCTCCTGTTTCTGTATCCTAACATTAGCGCTTACCAGACCCTACTTGTCAGTGTGATGGGTTTCAGATGGTAGTGGTGCCTTCATGCTGTGAGTAGAAATTCAAGTTGAATTCCTTGTCAGAGGAAAGCCTTGCTTGGTGAAGCCCTCCCTGGTTTTGTAGTTGGTCACTAGTAGCACTTGTGCTTAAGTTCAATTGTTTGGGATTTTTTGTTTGTTTATTTTTATTTCTATTTTTCTTTTTTTTTTAAGACAGGGTTTTTCCATTTATCTGGCTGTCCTGGAACTCGCTCTGTGGACCAGGCTGACCTTGAACTCACAGAGATTTACCTGCTTTTGCCTCTTGAGTGCTAGGATTGAAAGTGTGTGCCACCACCCAATTTTATTTTATTTCATTTCATTTCATTTTACTTTTAATGTTAGGGTTTAGCTTAGCAGGGCAGTGAACTACTTTAATTTTATCACTCTGTGAGTTTCAAGGCCAGCTTGGTCTATCTAATAAATTCTAAGTTAGCTAGGGCCACATCGTGACCCTGTCTCAAAAAAAAAACAAAAACAAAACAAGTTTGAGTTTAGGTTTGGGATTTAGTTTTTGAGTCAGGATCTCATATAGCCCAGGTTGGGTGCAAACTTGATATGTGGCCAAGGATGATCTTGCACTGGAGATTTCTGCCTGTGCATTTTAAGTGCTGAGCTTAACGCATGTATACTTCACATATCTACAACTGTCTGGGTTCTTTAGGCCATAAACCTGGGTATCTGAACTTAAGTGCGCCTGGATGTAGTTTCTAATTATTTTTGTGTATATATGTGTTAGTTTTGTGTGTAGCAGGGGACATTGGGCGTCATCCACAGTCACTCTGCTTTGTGAGGCAGGGTCATTTATACCCAGAGCTTATACATTTGGTTACTCTGTCAAGCCAGCTTGCCCCAGGAATCTCTTTCTCTGACTCCCAAATCCTGAGATTACAAATGCAGGCCACCAGGTTCTCACAGCATTTCCCTAGGTATTAGGGAGTCAGACCCAGGTCCTCATGACTGCACAGCAATGCCCTCCCCACTGAACCATCTGCTCCAACCCCTAGTTTCTAATTTTTAAAATTCAGGAGGTTTGTAACATTGGGAGACTCTATGAGAAAATGAAGTCACCTGCAAGTCTGTGACATGGTTACAGTCACTTAGGTAACTGTAGTGGAATTTGACCTAGAGATCCCTACTCGGGCATGACCATTCAAACCCTGCCCATGGTCTTGTCTCATGCCTCAGTTCCCCTCACCTGTGAAATAGAAGCCTTCTACAAGACTGGAGGGCTCTTTCCAGAACTGGTGTTTTACAAAAGCTGAATGCTGGGAAGGACCTATGGTCTGTGATCTCAACTGTTAACCTGTTTTAATTGGGTCAGTAACTCTATAGTCTGGCCACGATACTGCTCTTCTCCAGCCCGCAGGGTGGAAGAGAATAAGGCTGATAAATGCCAAGTTAGTATCCACAGAGCACACAGAACTCTCAGATACTCTGCTCTCAGATCAGAGGTGGCTGCCCTCTGACCCTCTGACCCACTGAGCTGGCTCAGGCAGGTGATGCTTACCCACAGGGGGTCACATGTCCTTCCAACTTGCATAAGGTGCTGACCAGCTTGTACCTGTCAAGGGTATATCAAGGCATATTAGAATTCAAGTAGCCTGACACTCATTCTCAGCATACTGATTCCTTCTGGATTTGGGGCTGTACTGTGTTTCGATATCAAATAGTAGAATAGACATCCACATATAAGGCTTTATTACAAATAATATGATGGTCATAATTTTTTTTTATACCAAATAGGACATGTGGTAGGGAAAGGATATATTTTGAGACAGTCTTATATTTCAGGCTGGCCTCGAATTCACAGTGTAGCCAAGGATGACATTGAACTCT